AAAGAGACCCCAGTGACATTTTCGGATAAAATGCATTAGGGGTTGAAGATTTTTTTTAATTTAATGTATTGATTTATTTTTTTATAGGGAGTTAAAGTGGCTGAAGAAGGAAAGAAGTTGGAAAGGATATTGGAAGTGGAAAGGAATGAAGATTGCCCACTGGCTTGTCTTCAATCTTCCTTTCCTAGGTTTTTGCAATGTTCAGCAATGGAATCTCTGAGTGAACATTTTCTTCCCACAAAACTGTATTTGTCTATCTTATAGTCTAGGCTAGCGCTGTTAAGCACTATGTGCCAAATGAAACACTGGAGGTAAAACTGACACCATACAAACAAAAAAATCCAAGTTTCTGTGTACAGAGAACAGCTCATTGCTACTGAGCAGATATTAAACAGTAAGTAGAAAATACAAATAATTTTGGGTTGTTTTTAGGCTTCTTAAAAGAACAAGAAAATCATTATTTTTACTTTCTTCAGGAGACAAGTAACCTCTACATAACTATTATGAGGAAAAGTGACTTGATGTCACTTTTGTGACTATATAGCAGTGACTATATAAGCAGTGGCCCAATTACTCCTCTTCAATTATTTTTTTGGTGCAGAAATGACACTGAAACAATCCAACAAAATTACTGCATTTCTTTTTTCAGCTATATTATGATTATTATTCATTTTTTCTACCTAAACTTCTTTCATGTTTTTAGCTATCTAAAGGTACCCTCAGGGTTAGTTCTATCTTTTTTTTTTTTTTTTTAAATAAATATATACACTAATTTATCATGTTAACTTGTAACAAGCTCTGTTATATAAACCAGCTTGGCCTTAGCACTGCAAGTTACATGCAAAAGCCTGGAAAGGGCTTCTTCACTGGCAGCCACTGTGGTTTGGGATTGGTTACACATTTCAGGCATTTATTGTCTTTGCGTGGACTTCAAAAACAGTACTAAGAGGAACTCAAGGTTGTTGAAAATTTGTCCTTTGCTGAATTTTCTAAAAAGCCTTTACACAGAAATTTCTTCTATGTGTGCCAGACTTCCATATGATTATATTCTACCATGGAATATTTTGCATCTTACATACAGCCATTTCTGCTGAAGTCTTCTATACAGCTACAAGGGACTCACTGCTCTGATTCCTGTCGTTACCCAAGAGATGCTTCCCAAGGCAAGTCTCCCAGTTCACAGTCCAAGAGGCATGTGGGATGCTCCGGAGCTCCTTGCACAAACATACCACGTTTGCATGGTTCACAGGGTGAAATCTGATTTGGCCTCACCAGCTTCTTGGGAGATAGGTCTGGGAGATGGTGTCAGTGATTCAGAAGAGCAAGGCTGAAGCGTGACCCAGGACAGCATCATTCCTGAGGAGACTGTTAACTCAGAAGGGAAGTAGAGGTAATAGAGAGATGGGAAGGAGGGCAGCAGATGAGCTCTGCCACAGGGTGGGGACAAGGAGAAAGAAGGCAGGGGGAAGCTCAGCGTTATCTAGGTCTCTAACTAAGCTGGCCCCACACAGTTTGTTTTTAGAAGAAGTGCTAGACATGAATATTTTCTGCGATAGTTCTGTGGTCCAAATCTTGGGAGGCACACAGCCGAGACATACTTCCTAACACTAAACGAATGCTACTGCAGTCTTGACTGAGGTGGAAGATATTTGAGACACTGCCCAATTGTATATTATATTTTAACATTGAGGCATTTCCCACTGTTTCCCCTGCTCTTAGTTGTTATTCCACTTCTGTTTTTTTTTTTTTTTTTTTGCAAATAATATTCCAATTGATTGCATTAGAGTAACAACAAAAAGTTAAATAAAATCACAGAAAACTGAGAAAATGACAGCTCTGCTCCCGCTCAAGAAATTTTGATAAAAGCCATAGATGATTCTCATAATGGAGGCGTGAGGAAGACTCACCTAACCCCTTGTCTAGCAGAAGCTGTTCGGCTTTACCTGGTTATTGCTGTACTGGTAGAAGCCCTTTACTTTAGGGGAAGGGGACAAGCAAACCCAGTGTTTATAGAGCAGACAGCAGTTGTGTTACAAAACAGTCACAAGCTGGTAAAGAGCAGTGAAAGGGCAAGGCACTTTCTTTCCATAGCTTCATGAATGAAAATTCAGTGAGACTGTACTAAAACTGCTCCCAGGACTTGATCTGAGACAAGCTCATTGCGTGCCCTACCAGAGGACTCTCATGGTCCCCTGGCTGCACCTTGAGACAAGGGTGTGTGATAAGGTGAAATCCTGGTCCCTGGAGAGCACATACATTTGTTATCCTTAATTCCAGTAGGAGTAGGAACTTAACCTAAATATTTTATTGCACCATCACATACTATAACATCTTATAATTCTTGAGGGAAAAATCAGATATTCATTCGTGATGCCATGTGGCAAAGGATACATCCATATGGCCGTGTTCACAGGAATCAAACAGATAATGCCACTGCATCCCGTAGACACCACCATGGCACAGCGCAGCGGAGGCTGGAGGAAAAAAAAAACATTGATTCAAATGAGGCCATGATTTCACCTCATGTTTGTAGTGTAGCAAATGTTATTGCAAAGCCACACAGAGCCAGCATGAAGCCCGAATTACCACAGGAATTTGTTACATTCATTACTGACCTAGCATCATTAGTTTCCAATGAGTGTAGCTATCTAGAGGCAATAAGAGAGTTTTCCATTTCTTTCTTTGAAAAAATGTGGATTTTATTAACAAAATGACAGTCTCTTCAGTGAAAGAAAGTCATATGCTGCAGGAAGATTCCTAAATTTTGGGAAAGAGCTGAGAGGCAGTGCTGAACACAGGCAGCATAGCTCCACGGAATAGGAGACAGGCAATAAAGCAGTTGCTCGTGTACGTGGGAATCGAGTCGGAGAAAGGAAAGCAGGGCTGGAGAGGTTCCATCTGAAAAAGCAAATTTAAAGCTACTGAGGCCAGTGTGAGGCCACGCAGGGGGCATTTGTTGGGACTTTGTTGTGAGATACTGCATCTAGATTTTTTTTTTCCTATATTGGTCTTTATTTTGGGACTCTTTGGTGACCCCCAGGAGGGATGCTGGATTCAGTTTCACCCTAGCACATTGCTGTTAACCTGAAATTGGTTCCATCTGATTTGCTGAGTATGTGTGGAAAAAAAAAAAAATATATATATATATATATAGCAGTTTCTTACATGGAGGTGTAAAAGCTGTGTATGTTTGAAAAGAAAAACAAAACCTAGATAGAGCCAGAGCACTTCTTACACTCCGGGGTGATTTTCTTGCGCTCCCGGTACCTAAATTTGCTCGGGTTTTGGCAGGGCTCTGCATGAGCCGGCGTGCTCGGTCTGGGTAGTCCTATTCTAGAGCGACCTCTCGTGTTATTTCGGGTAACTTCTGCCTGTACCAGTGGTTTCTTTTCCCATATTTCTTCTGCTGAGATTATGAAATCGCAGTTGAGTTGGTTTGGGTGCTGGTTTTGCTCTACGGTGCGGCTCAGTTACAGTTTTGCCCCTTCTTTGCTTGTTGCTGCATCCATGAGCTGCCTCACACGGACTCTCCTTCATTCCTGAAACCATCCCGACAGCATCCCCAGCAAGAGGATTCCGCCCCCTCCTTCCCTCCCGTCTAAATTAATTTCCATGTATATTCACTTCTGTTTGGAGTCTTCACCTTTCATGAAATGACCAGATGTCTCTGAGTGCCTGGAGCAATACTGGCATCAGGAGACATCGCCCCCATCCTGAGTGACTGCAGACCGAGATGCCAGTATGTTCTGGTTTGTAATGGATGATTGATTTGCAGGGCTGTTTTGCTCTGATTCTCCCTTGCTTCAAGAAGCATTGGGCCTTTTTTTTTTTTTTTTTCCTTCCCAATTTTGACTGTGACAACTAAAGTAAAATTGTCATGTCTGTGCCTGGCACTGTTTCTGGACAGAGAATCATTCCAAAATTGCATACAGCTCTTTCAGCATAGCACAGCACAGGAGAGAGAGATATCTCAGGGCAGTGAAATATCTTCACAATATTTCTTTTCCTTCTTTTTTATTTCTTGCAAGTCTAGAAAATCAAATTTAATCATTAAAAAAAAGG